TTCATAATCAATGTCTTGGGTTGTTTTTCTTTTTTGTTTGTTTTTTTGTCCATTAAGAATGCTAATTGGTATTAAACTTAGGAAACTTGCCTTTATTTATTGATTTTTTTTTTTTCAGTATTTCCACATAACCATTTGGATCGTGAACTCAGGCTCCTATGTCGTCCTCCTTATCCTCCAAATATAAAACTGGCCATTATGGTCAAACAATTAAATTTTAGTTAATCGGACTGCAGGGCTGGTCTGAAACACTAAGTAAAGTATTTTTTAAATGTGACTTTCTTTTCTGTAAGTTTTGGATCTTCAGACAGTCAACTCTGAGACCTCTTTCCTGATATGATGTTTGTCATTCTCATGGTGTTTAATTGTTTTTCTTACTCCATATAAACATATGTGTTTGAAAATAAATAGATAAAACATTTGAAAAAAAAGGGTCCCTCTAAATTTCTTCTTTTTTTTGTGAAGTAAAATAGTTTTAGAGATGAAAGCCAATCTTTAACTAAGATTTTGGACCGATTTATTGTCAGAAAAGTGAATACCTGGCTTCAATATTATATATAAGATAAAAGAACTGTAGAAACATTTACAGCTGTATTCGTCTGACTGTATTTTAATTTTCTTAAGAAGAAATTTATAATATGCAAAAAATGAAAAATTTTATAGTAAATTTTCATTTTCAAAGAGCCAGACTTTAGTTAAATCTTTTTAAAGTGATATTCATCAGTCTTTTTCCTGATTTTCTGTGGTATTTTAAAGTTAATTCATGCATATCCACTCTTTATCCTTGACCAAGACAATAAATTGTACTATATGTTCTTAAAAACTATGGACAGTGTAAATATGAAAGGAAAACGTAAAAATAATATAGAGATTAGATAAAGAAGATCTGCAATAGGGAAGCTAAAAGATGTTAAACTGGATGTAGCTCTCTGTTCTGCATCAACACATATAGTACTTATCCTTCAGGTGTCTGAAAAAGATTTCTTGCAAAAGAAAATAAATAGATAAAAATAGAAAAAGTCTGTTTTGGTCTTTTTTTTTCCAGGAATCTAAGCATTAAATTCAAAAAGAAAATCGACATTATTCATTTAATCTCGTATAAGTTATCATAAATATAAACATTTAAATATAAAGATAGTTGAATTTTGAATTTTTTTTTTACCAATGTCACCTGGTACCGTTCAACGCTTGCTCCTCCCCCTTAGCTTGTGGTGGGCGGAGCAAAGCTCCTCATTGGTCCCTTTCCAATAATCCGCCATATTCAAACTTCCGCCGTCTTCTTTGAGTGTTGTCATTGATTCCTTGTTTTCTTTGTACACCTAAAGGGACTTTTTTTAAACATCTGGGCTCATTATTTTACCATAACGTTATTAATAAATATTAGTACCGCATAATTTTAAAAGAATCGACTTGCAAAATGGAAGAAAATGAGGAAGTTTACGGAGTGACGGCGGAAAACCCCAGGAAGAAACTACGGAGGATTTCATCGAGGACGTCCATTTGCAGTGTCATCAGCGCCGCGGAGCCGTCCCCGCCAAGACTGCGGAGAAACAACTCCAAGAAGTAAGCTGCTTCCAAATAAACCACCTGCTCTCCGCCTGCTTGCAACTTATAATACGATGCGTCGGTAAAAATACGGTTTATTAAGATATAATAACCCGAACTCGTCGAGATGGTTTTAACTGGCAGATGGTGCATTCAGGTGCACCTCGTACGTCATAGATTCCACTTAATTGCCATATAATAACCAGGAGTTGGATATAAAAGTGAGTATCAAAGCACTGTTTTCACCAAACCTTGGGGTGAGATTTTGAAATAGTTTGAACAGGAAACCCTGTCAGGGTTAGATGAAGATAGGTGCAGTTATAGGTTGGAGGTTTTCAGAGGATTTAACTGAAACAAAGTGGCAAAATGTGGAATTTTTATAGCACAGTAAATGATACTAAGTAACAATAATTGGTCTGTAGTTATGTGGAACATTTTTCTTACTTTATACATTATTTTCTATATTCTGGTGATTTTTAGAGAATTGAAGTAAAGCTGAATGAGCCCTACTAAAATACTTGCATCTTAAATATACTTTAAACAAAGAATTTCGCAACTTTGCCCATTAATTATTCTCTGCAGTTCAAGTAAAATAAACAATGGGGAACTAATAAGCTATTACTGGCACTGATACAGCAACCAGTGCAATTGAAACATATGCAATAATATACACTGTGTATGAATATTTTGTAAATGGCTAAGGATTAAAAAGCTTCATTCATTATGTTATTAGTTACAATCAATCTTACAATTGGCAAAACGGCTAAACAGTTCAGACCCTCTAGGAGGCTGTAGATTTTATTAAACTCATCATGACAGGAGATAGCGCTTCTCTGGATGTTTCATTTGGAAAGTGTGATGGAAATTAAGTTTTTAAAAATATTAAATGGACCAAAATAAAGATAAATGAATAAGAAGAGTAATAATAAAATGAGAACATCCCTGTAGTTTCTCCTCTACGAATCCAGGATAAATGAGCTGTTCTGCACATCCTCTCTAGACGGTATTTTCTTTGGTGGCTGATTTTTTTGAAAAATAAAATGCTTCTTTGATCAGAAAATCGTTATCTCCTTTTTCTTTCATCTTTTCTCCTTTTCTTTTCCTTTCCTGTTCTACTTACATTGCAGTATCAATGAAATCTGTAAAACTCCCTGCATGAGTTATAATAAAGCAATTTATATGCATAAATCAAGCGGAACACCACAGTGATAGCCGTTCTGCTCCACTTGTGAAAACATAATCTGTTGGGCTGTTTTTGGCATCAACACAATTATTCTTATTGCCACATCGCCAGACAGGACACTGTTAAAAAATAATAATAATGATAATAAATATAAAAGCTGCTCATTTTATTTCAGTGTCCATACAAGGAATTAAATAATCTTATTTTTGTAAAACTTATAAAAGTTGTAATTATTCGAGATTGACCAACTTTCTCATGATCTGTTAGTGATCGACAGTCAAAAGTAAACACATTTGTTACCTAAATAGAAGTATAGATACTGTAGTTTAAAAACTGCTCCTGAACACACAGTATCAACTTGACCTCTTTACTCAAGTGAAAGTAAAAAAGAATGTAATTCAAAAACTACTGAAAGTATAAAAGTATAAAGTAACCTTAAAAAAAAGCAGCCAGATGCCACTATATGAATTGAAAGCTTATTTTTTCGACTATTTAGAAACGAGTAACGTTTGTTTTAGAAATGTAAGGAATATAAAGTACAGATACTTGTGTGAAAATGTAATGAGTAGAAGTCAGAAGTAGGAAGAAAAATAAGTAATGGAGTAAAGTGTACTTAAGTAGAGTAACAAAGTATTTGTACTTCGTTACTTGACACCTCTGATAAAAGGAAGGCAACTCTTTGTTGCACATAAGTTAGTATTTTTTGTGTTATTGTTGTATTTGTGATGCAGGCCCTGAATAAAAGAAAACTCCAACTAGTTTGAATCAGTCAAAATATGAACCATCAAAAGAAAATTGAAGGTCTGTATCAGCCAGGAAAAGCCTTATCAGTGTATCTGTAAATAATATTGGGTTAATAAAACAAATAATTTTTTTGCAGCAGCAATCAACAGTTTGACCCCATCTGCAACTGAACCATAGATAAGAGATTTTATGTAGCAGCGTTCCAATGTGTAATGGTTAAAACCTTTGAGCAATGTGCTAAATAAAAGGTGAAATCAAGGTTTTCTTTTTTTCTTTAGCACGCTAATAGCTGTTTAATAGAATTTCTTATAAAGTAAAAAAATCAACCTTGAAAAATGAATTGAAAAAGTTACATAAGCAGATAAAAACACCAATAAAATAAAACAGAAAAAGAAATCTATAAAAGTCAAACTAGATTCCTCAGCTGAAACAAAAGCCAAATGAGAATCTTCATAAAATGTCCTCATGTGATGAACACAAGCATAAGACTGGCTCCGTTTGTTCAGCTGGCCTTTATGTCCCCCCCTCTGTGAATCCCGACACTCTATGGCTTCACTGTTCAGTCAGGAGCTGAACATTTATCCCAGTCACCTGACAGTATCCTCCATATTTCAGACTGATTTAACATATCTGAGTGGAACATTTCTAGAAAATAACCTCTTTATTTCTACTGCAGTAAAAAATGGGAGAGTTTGAATATAGTGTGTGTCCCTCCCTCTTTATTGGGCCAGTTGAGCTGAACGTAATCTGCTGATCTTTACTTCTTTGCAGTTTGAAATTATTTTCGTGTTTTCTTGCAGGCCGCCGCTGCAGAGAGGCAGCTCGTTCACTTTCCTCGCTCCAGGCACACCGTGGGACTTCAGTCTAGTGAGTTCATCCGATAGCACTGCCACTTTTGATCATATATTTTATGATTTTTCTTCCTAATTGAACCTCAAAATAAAATATTTGATCTTTAAAATCAGTTTTGCTAATTTTTTCTAACATAAAGTGAGCAGCTTAAAATGCAATTAGTGATAGAAATAAAGTTGTAAATGGCATTTAGAGCTGTTAGAAAGGATTCACAATGCCTTACAGAAGGATTTCCGGCACTCAACGAGTGTATTTATTGGATTTCATGTTTAGACCGAAACAAGGTAGCACATGCTTATAAATCGGAAGAGAAATCATGCATACATTACAGATTTTTTTTCAAATATGGTGGGTTTTTTGTCAGAATCTCCATTTTGCATCTGTGTGTGGCATAAATTCTACAGCTACCCTGAAGTCTGTTGTTGCATCAAATTTATAGATACTTTGCAACTTTGGTTTTGGATTTCTTTCTGTGAAGTTTGGAGCGAGTGTCAGAAAATAAATGGTTTAATCTTTTATCCTCCTGTTTTAGAAAAGAAAGCGCAAAGAGAAGGAGGATGACACGGTCAGTCTTTCCAGCTTTGACCTTAAGGTGAGCGAACGTCCTCTGTGCTTATTGCATATAGACTGAGCAGCAGATGAATGACTCCTTCCAGCACAGCGTAATCCCACTGCATGACTCAGATTCTCGACACAGACAATTATGTGTATGAGCTCGGGATTATCCTGCTGCAGTGTGGAACTGTAAAACCAGTGTGTCTCAGGAAAATATAAAGAGGAAACCATCAACATTACATTGCTGTTTACCAATATTTTGGTGCTTTTTTAAGCTATATCTTTAGGTTGAAAGTCAGTAGAGTAATGATTAATTTAAAGCTGCTAGGTTACCTTTCCAAAAAAGTACTAACAAGTGTAGAAGTACTTGAAACAAGAGTTGAAAACTTTTTTTTATTATTATTCTGTTACATAGAAGGGCTTTCTTAAAAGATTTATTGAGTATGTTAAACTAAAAGCATAACGGCATAAGATTCAAAATCATAAGGAAGCATTTTTTTGAAAAACCCATTTATTAGCAATCACATATAGAGCTTCCTTTCTGATTTGATAATCCATTCTACTAGATGGGTGAACAACAGAAAGACATAATGGTGAACAAAAATGACTTTGGCAGGATTTACTGAGAGTTTGGCTTTTGTTTGTCATACAAATATAAACTGATCAAAGTTTTATTTTTATTTTTTTTTGCCTTTGTCTTTTGGGCCCAAAAAAAAGCAACTAAAGTGCCGCTGATTGTTTTAACAAACCAAATATTCAGGCTATGTGCAAAATCCCTCCTAATGATACTACTAGTAATGCTTCTCTTATTTCTAGAAGAAGAAAAAAAAACTCTTTACAAATACAAAGCAAATTTTCTAGGGCTGCAATTAATGATCATTTTACTACTTGATTAATCTGTCACTTATTTTTTAGATTAATCACTTAATAATTGGTTAGCAAAACATTCCTTAAAGAAGATTTTTAGCAGGATTTAAAATGGGTGAAACTAAAAATGTTCCACTTGAGGTGTTCTGAACAGAGCATAATGATGAATGAGAACGTTTTTTAACTTAAATGCAATGTGTTTACATTTTTTTCTCTTTTTTTACAATTTTGGTATAATTACTGCTCTAAGTGGGTTGCTCTGGGAGCTAAAGGCATGTTTAAGAGTCTTTTTACTCCAATTCAGGATTAATTGATCACTTAATTAGATTAAGATAATTTCAATAATCGATTAATCATGATTAATCGAAGTATTTTTTTCAGCCCTAAAATATTCCCATGCAAATTTGTTCAAAACAAGAAAACTGCCTGAAAACATGTTTTTTTGTGACTTCCAGAGGGGTTTTTTGTTTTCCATCTAACTCTAGTTCCACACCAATTCATTTTTCCTTGTTGCAGAAATGTGATTAAAAAGTACAGCTGTATAGAAAATTGAAGAAAATAAGCCAGTTTACTAGAGGAATAATAAAGATGGGCAGAGAGAGTTGCAGCTAGCTCGCAGATCCATACAAGCAAACTATAAGAAGCACTCTTCCATGCAACAGTAAAGTCCCTCAATGATCTACTCTGGGCTAGAAAGCACTAAAGGCCATGAAAACAACATAACCCTGGAATTTTTCATAACATTTTTCATAAAAAGATTTTGGTTATCAATAAAAATGGTCAATTTGATTTTTGGCAAATTTCACAGGCATGCTTTAATCACAAAATAAATATATGATTGAATTGCACTAATAGTTAAATAGCTTAAGATATCCTGTACAGAGGAAAATAAGAGATAAATATAAATTTTTCATGTCAAAAGCTTTTGGTTCAAACCCACTTGAGAAGACTTACAATTTAGAAACAGCAGCAACATGACCTTATAATTATCATACTGTGGAAAGAAAGGAAAATAGATAGAAGGAAAGAAAATAGAGGCGTTGTTGCAAAAAATGTTTGATAGAGCTTCTAGGCGGTTCCACAAACCCCATTTGTAGACGGATGTAAGTTAATAAGTGTTTAAACTTTTGAAGAGTCTGCATGACAAGATGAGTATTGTCCTAACAGGAAGGAACTAACATGTCTTTCCTGTTTAATGGTGCTACAGGAACTGCTAAACTTGGTCTGACCTGCATTCTGCTTTCAGTTACAAATGGGTCCAACGCACCATCTGAATCTTTTTCTGAAAATTGAGTCGTTCAAATCCTGCTTCCAGAATCGTTTTCCTGCATAAAAAAATCCAAATCCATCCAGGTTTTCCCGCCCTGTAAACCTCAGTCAGCGAAGCAGAGTTTTTATGCAGTCTTGCTAATGGAATAAAGTCAAATTTCTCAAACATTTTTTAACAGAGTTGGTCAAAGCGCTTTACAATAAACACACCAAAGAAGACAAAAAAAGAAAGAAAACATAAACATTATTAATAATTCAGATAATATAATAGTATTAAATTATAAATTACTTTATAAATTACTTTAACGACTTTTAAAAAAGCAAGCATCTTAAAAAGATATATTCTGGATGTGGCAGAAGAGCCTCGCATTCTGAAAATTTTTTTACATTTTAAAAATTTTCTTATAGAAAACATGAATTGGGTCTATTTATAAGACTTTTAAGTGGCTGTTATGGTGGCACCTAAAAAGAAAGGCCTTAGATCTAATGATCTAGTCATAATTAACCTGCTAATCTTCAAATGAATTTGTTTGAGGAACATATAGAAATCCTAACGTACTAAAAAAATATATACGTAGTATTAAGATTATTTTGTGGATTATGCAAGTTCATAATAAGATAACGTGGCTTAGCTTTGACTTTCCACATCAACACCTAGTTTATAATCCTTCACATTGATGGATTTTAATGTCTGAGTGAACCAACAATGTGTTGGATGCTTCAATAGTGGCTTCATTTATGCAGGCTCATTTAAACACGGCTTTTTGGCCTCAAGCTGTAAAAAGACAGATAAAGATCTTTAACCAGAGTTTATTTTATTTAACTATGGAAGTAAATCTGTGTCGCTGGGATTTGAATTAGAAATGCCACTGAAATTTAAATGTTGTATGTTTGTACTGTTTCAGTGTTAAAATATATTCAGAACACATTTTTGACCTAAAAAAATTAATTGTCATTATTTTTCTCTTCATTAAACTGAAAAATAAGTATTGAAAATATAATCACTTTGAAATAGTAATGCAAATTTTTAGCTTTAAGAGAAAATAAATAAAATTTCAACTTTGTAGAAATAATGACAATGAATTTTTGTGTAGGTCAAAAATGTGTTCTGAATATATTTTAACACTGAAACAGTAAGTACAAACATACAACATTTAAATTTCAGTAGCATTTTTAATTCAAATCCCAGCGACACAGATTTACTTCAAAATTTAACCCCACGGAAAAACAGCGACACTGCTATTTTTATTTTTAATCAAAAATTAAGAGGTAATATAGATTTCAAATTCCATATAATGAGTCTATTCAGCAGCAAGAAGGTTCCGGGTATACTTGGGGTCTCTCTGGGTACTCTGGCTTCCTCCCACAGTCCAAAAACATTACTGTTAGGTTGATTGGCTTCTCTAAATTCTCCTTAGGTGTGAGTGTGTGAATGGTTGTTTGTCTCTCTGTGTTGCCCTGCGATGGACTGGCAACCTGTCCAGGTTGTACTCCGCCTCTCGCCCGTAGAAAGCTGGAGATAGGCACCAGCACCCCTCACGACCCAACTTGGGATTAAGCGTGTAAGAAAATGGATGGATGGATGGAATCTGTTCCATAATTTTAAAGACGTTTGATCTAAGTGTTTCTTAGGAGCCAGCCTTGGTCCCTCCACTGTGAGGTTTACTACTAATACTAGGGATGATGGAAAGTCCCGCCTTCTAATTAAAGAATCTTATTCTACAGCAGCGTGGCCAGCATGAGGAGGTGTTTTGGTTCCAGGTTACTTAGGCTCTTGTTTGAATAAACTTTTAAATCAGATGGCCCTTTTTTTCGCTCACTCAATCCATAGACAACACCAAACAACAGTCAGCAGGTGGCGCTGAAAGGGAAGATTTGGTGAATCTATCATAAGTGGAACCTACTAAACTGGGGCATAGACTTATAAATGCATTTTCCCAACGAATCTTACTCAGTTTTAGGGAAATTTAACAAGTTTCTGAGTCATACAGGAGGTTTAGATAAAAAAAACCCTATTAGAAAAAAAATTTTATTATTATATTATTTAAAAACTGTGAACAAAGCTTAACCAGAAAGATTTTTTTTTCCTTATATTGTGAGTAAAAACATTTCTTAAGATTTTTTGGAGGAATTATACATCTTAATAGCATCAGCCCTAACATGATCTAATTATGAGTAAACAAACCTTATAGTGGTGAAATCATTTTTCAGGAGCCCAATAATAAGAGGGTGCGATCCCTGGCCAAAGTTTCATCCCTCGTCAACCTGATGTCCCCATCCAAAAACGGAGCTGTGCGGCGCTTCGGCCAGTCCATTCAGGTAAGCATTGACCCATTGTCATGTTTACCTTAAAACATCAGACATAATCTAGACACTCCCACACTTTTCCTCAGTCTATGTCTGTACGTGGGGATGGGAAGTCACCCGGAACGACTCTCAAAGCCGTCAGCAAGGCCTCGGGTCCGACCCCCACCAAACGCAGGAACAGCACTCTGTGGTCAGAGACGCTGGATGTCCACCAGAAGAGGGCTTTCTCTGCTAAGGAAATCAAAAGACAAGAGGTAGTGTGACTTGATATGAGGAGAACCAAGAACAGAACCGCAGAGGAGGAGTAATATGTGACTGATGTTTATCCTGCAGGCAATTCATGAGCTTTTCCGGGGTGAGCAGGACCTCATCGAGGACCTGCAACTCGCACGAAAGGTTTGGAAACTTCCCGTAAATTCAGACAGAGAAGTTAAACAATTAGTTTTTAAAATCCCAAATGGTGTTTCCTGCATTCAGGCATACCATGATCCAATGCTCAAGCTCTCCATCATGACCCAGGAGGAACTGGCCCACATTTTTGGTGATCTGGACGCATACATTCCCCTCCATGAGTGTAAGCTGCAGCTAATCAGCCTTTTCTTTTAAAGTCCTGCTTGTTTCTCGCAGTTCTTGCTGACGATCTTTCTTTTATCTGCAGACTTACTCATGAAGCTCACAGAAGGAACCGGCCCTGATGGAACGGTAGCTCAGATTGGACAGATAGTAATAGACTGGGTATGCATGCAAAAAGGAAAACTTAATGTAAGATATATGACATTTCAGTGAATCGAAACTAAATGTCCCTTTGTCTGTGTTCAGCTGCCTGGCCTGAATGCTTATAAAAACTACTGCAGCAACCAGCTCGCAGCCAAAGCTCTGCTGGATCAGAAAAAACAGGACAAGCGGGTGCAGGACTTCCTGCAGCGCTGTCTGGAGTCGCCTTTCAGCAGGAAGTTGGATCTGTGGAGCTTCCTGGACATCCCACGTTCACGTCTGGTGAAGTATCCTCTGCTGTTGAGGGAGATCCTCAGACACACTCCTCCTGATCACCCAGATGTCGCCAGTCTGGAGAGAGCCGTACGTTTTCTTCGTTTACTCTGATTTGACATCAATTTGTGGTTTGCAGTAAACTTTGATGTGTCCTTAACCAATTATTATAATATACTTCAACTAATTAGGTAATCAAATCGTTATTTGATTTGTGCAGACAGTATGTTAAGGCCTTTACCTGCGCTTTACTTTTAGCAAAAAATGAAGAGGACGTTGTCAAACACGGTGGTGGTAGCATGATGCTGAGGGTCTGATTTGCTCATAAATGTTTCTCCATGTCAAGAATCTAATTATTTATTCAAATTACACTAAACATAACTGCTATTTTATATAATCTTAGACACATATTTGGTTTTCAAACAACATAACGAGTTACAGAAGCAGGGTAACACTTCTTTCCCATAAAAAGAAATCAAGTATACAGGGAATAAAAGCAGTTGTTAGGATAAAATCTACAAACTGACCAGAAGATTTGTCAAATGATTCCTGAAGCTTGGGGTGAGAAGCAAGTACGTACTCGCGTTCTCATCAAGTCCGTTCTTGGCGAGAACGCTGGTAGATCGGACTTGACGAGAACGCGAGCACGCAAGCAC